TAGCTTCGAGTTTGTGAGAAATCCGCCGGTGGTTGAGTACTACTCTTATATTTCGTAAGTTTTTAATGTTTTAAGATGAATTAATTGCAAATGGGCACAAGGAGGCAATCACTGCAGAACAAATTAAGATTTTTATGACGTAAATATCACTATGGCTAGCAAATTAAAGTACATAGGTTTTTTTCTTTTTCGCCACATCAAAGAAATCATTAAATGTTACCGAGTGTATTGCGCAATCGCTTTTATGCTTTATCACAATCATGAATTGGAAGGATGATAAGAACCTAACCTAGGTTTTCGTTGCATTAGTGGATGCTATTTTGAAAGAGACAATTTTGTAAATGGCTTCCTCTGTACATGTCACTGTTTTCAGCAAGAAGCACTAATCAAATTAATCTATTCAACATTAATGTGAACTCAACTTCTACCATGCAAGTTCTATTCTTTTCAAAGGTCCTTTCTCGGCAATGTTTCCACGTGATATTGGCTGGTTCGAGGACGTTTAAGTATTCCTCGCCACAGCTAGTTAAAGAGAAATTGAGCTTCACAGAACCTCAGTTTATTGATGAACTTTAGATAATGTGTTATTTCGTAGTGTCCAGTTAGTTCGCAAAAGAGATTGACGTGTTACATTTCTTTTTTTCCTTCTTTTTATGTTGTATATTGCTGTTTATTTTCTGTTAACTTACGTTGTTAACGCTAATGGCGGGATGTATCTTGTTTCTCGTCATCCTCATGTGTCTTGACCTGTTTGAAACAAAATCGAAGAAATCCGTAGAGGGTACATGTACTATAGAAGAAACATCACCAAATCAATTGATAAGTATTTAAGAAAGTAAGCCCAATAAGCGATGGTGTTAATTCAGCGGTATGCATTATTTTTTAAGGTTTATTGTTAACGTCTCTTTTCACCTCCGAATGTACTTTAAGCAACAGATTAATCGAAAATATATGACTCATATTGATCCCTGATGATTATTTCTGTCCCAAAACTAAACAAGATTAATTACTTTTTTTTAATTATGAATATGTACTTAACAATATTTAGAGAACTGGTATCTGATTCACGCCTACATTTTCTATACACAAAGTGAAGACCATATGAGCATGCATGGGGTGTTGAGAAATAACAGCTGGAAAGGTTTGTGACAATATAGAAATAATTGCACGACAATCGCGCTAGGATTGAAATATAGATTTTTCGAGTTTGCAACTGACAAAAGACGTCTAGAATTTTAAAGGTCCTTGTGCCGTTGGCATTGTCCCTGAATCAATTATTTCATTCTATATGTCCATGTAAGACTACTTTTTGTATGCATTGACGTTTCTAGTGTATACTACCTAAAGCTTCTGTATATATATACCACACCTGTCTAGTGAGGCACAGGGAACCTCTACGTGTCTAGTGAGGCACAGGAGACCTCTACGTGTCTAGTGATGCACAAGAGACCTCTACGTGTCTAGGAGCATGTGTGGTGGAGGCGAAATTCATATACTCAAATGTGATAAATAAATGCTTGTTGTCAATATAGATCTTATTTGTCGCTTTTTTGTGTACGTAGTTGATTTCTACTGTGAGGTAAAGTGATGATGGCGTTTTGTTTTACACCTTTATTGTACTGTAAACGTGAATATTTTGATGATTCTTCTAAATTTGTTACACGCGGGTTAAGTTAATGTTATTAAAACAGATTCGCATCGATCCTTGATAAACTGAAAGAATTGTTTTACCAGGTGACCTGAAAGATTCAACTTTTTCTGCTTTATCGACAATATCCAAAAAAAGTCAAATCCAAGAGATACGCGTATTCAAAGCGAGAATCAGGGTAATGAAACAAAGCGAAACATCACACTGATGTAGATATCTACATTAAACACCACACTGATGTAGATATCCACGTCAACAATGTGTGTAAGGGCTTCAAACAATTCTTCAAAAAGTGATTTTTAAGATAAAAGATGCACACTTGAATATGTAATATTATTGATAAAACTTTTACATTTTGTTATGCCCTTAGTAATGTGTTATTTGTAGGCCAATATGGAACGTGTTTGCCCTCGTCAATTATGGTATTCAATCCAAAATCGAACAAAAATGGTAATCGACGAATTGAAACAGTCAATTTTGGCGTTCCAATATTTTTTTTGTATTGATTGCGAACAATCTACAACAAACGTCGTTTGTGACCAATCATCACTACAAATAGACGTTACGTCATACGTAATCTGATAATACAAAACAGACTCCACAGCAAACGATGTAGTAAGAATTAGATATTAAGGCATGATAATTTGTTTTTTATAAACAATAGTCACTTTATCAAACAACATTTTCATAGATGGTGCATCATCAATTTGTTAAAGTTTTAGAGCATTGATTTGTTTTATGTACCACTAATAAAGTTCTGTTTGAAACAAGCATTTCTACTGGTTTACTTTTTATGTTAACAGCTCATAACATAAAACACTGACGAAAGAACTGTATAACAAGCGTTTAGATTGGATGATGGAAACTGTTTCGTTATGACGTCGGTGTATTGATTTTTTGAAAGGATTTTGAGTATTGCATCATTTGATGCGTGATTTATCAAATTAAATGTTTGAAAATATTTAATCGTTTTTTTTTATTTATATTAGAATTAAAATATAAGTACAAGTGTATTCTTTTCATAAACCGCTTCGCTTCGCGGTTTATTCAGAGAACACTCCTTTTGTATGTTATGGCTCAATAACGTTAATTCAGCTTACTCCTCAAATGTACCTATGGTTATGTCCTGTTATGTAGCATACTGATACACTAAGAGTGTGTCTATAGAGGGTCCAAAATACTGCAGCATATCTGGTTTCTTGAACCTGGAAGGATCACATAACATCAATGTTGCATTCATGACATTGGTTAACAGTATGATACAGAATGAAGTACAAAATTGTTTTGCACACATAAAAGGCACTGAATAGAAACGCTCTTCAGTATTAACAGAGTTAGTCACCCTTTATCAGTCGATATACTCACTTTGGTCAGCCACAGAATCTTGTTGTGTGTTCCAAAATCTTGTACTGTGACCTATGGAGACCAATGTTTCAGACATGTAGCTGTAATTGTATGGACTATTTTACCATCTGCTACAAAGGAGTCAAAAACCAATACCAAATTCAAGAAGGATGTGAAAACTCGCCTGTGTACAACTAACATTTATACTCGTTAGTGCAGACATCCTGTCAATAACATGTCAGTCTACATATACACAAAAATCAACAACCTTCATTCTAATTATTCAATGCAGATTTATATGCCTAACATATATATATAAGTTGTGTTTCTGTAACCCTAGAACGATCATTATTATACTGTACAGTGCTCCGGAAAGGTTTTTTACAAATGAAATAGGGCGTTATATAAATGATGTACGTTATTATTATGGCCATATAATCGCTGGTTTCTATTTCCGATAGGTGTATCTATTTCCGATAGGTTATAAAACAATAATTGGAACTCTAGAATAATCATCATAACTGGTGTCCATTACTGTGGGCTTGTTTTCTAGGGGTTCTCATCAGGATCACGTGGTGGTATGTGATCGAGTTGTGGTGGTGGGTTACGTCCTCGCAATCAATACAGTCGATACACAAATACAGAGTCTGATTTCAGTATAAAAATACAACAGAAGTTAAAACTATTATAAAACAGTTCGTATAGCACAAGTAGTAAAGTGTCTGTGCGTGACATGTCGATGACTTGTACGATATGCTCTCATTCACCTTTCTCAAATTTGTCAGTTAACGGCGCCAGAGTACACCGTACGAGTTATCGAAACATTACAGTAAAAACTGTAATTGTTGTGCTACATGTATATGGACACTTACAAAATTCATAACTACCACCCCTAAGGACATGTTTAGAAATAGAGAACTGAAAAGATACCATAATAAATGGAACGACATCAATGGACCAACACAAAAAAACCCAGAAGATGAAACAAAATTATGGGTAAAAAGAGAAACACAGGAGAAGGAAAGAGTGTAATGATGATATAAGATCTATTTTTGGTTGGTTTGCTGTTGCCCCGTTACAAACACCGATGCTATTTTATTTACTTTGCTCAAACGTTGCATGCATAAGAGTTTTGTAAATATTATTTGTATCTTTACATTTCTGCGATTCTCTGTCTATATGGGAAACGGGTTTTGTGAATGTTACTGAAACATTTACTAAATCGAGTGCGCCTGTACGTTTTTATCACTTCGTTTCGGTTTGATGTTTACGCGGCATTGATGATAGAGAATTCCCGATTCGTTCATAAGGATCACGAAGTCGACGTTAAATTTGAAAGCGTTGGAAGATCTCAAAACGGGAACAAACTCAATATTAAATCACAAAGAGTTCCGAAGAATCAATCCTATTCATCAACCTCACAACTCATAATCCAATACATATAACTCTTATGCAACTATACATATCTGTATAGCAATGTAAATTTTTTTCTGGTTAAAAAACGTGAAAAGCGGTAGAAAACGTAAATATAAGCATTTACTTTTTTGTATGGCATTTATGATATAAATGAATGACACACCTTTGCAAGCAAACAAATCATAATGCGCTAGCGTGCATTACGTTGCTTGCTAGCAAAGCTGTGCCATTCAAATAGACCATCAATGCCATACAAAAGCAGTTTAATGCTTAATCAATCTTCCATTCCCGATATCTGCCATTACGATATACAACATGAACAATCATTATTGCATACTTCCACAGTTTGAACTGCATACATTGTTTTTCTTTCGTATATTCACGTAATATTTATCACATGTTTTTTAACATAACATACGGCATACCATTTACTCGGATCGCCAGCTCACAATTAGTGATAAACTGTCTGCAACACTTGAGAGAAAAAAATGTTACATACTGAAATTGACATTATACTGAGAGACTATTTAATACCCTAAAGACAGATCTAGTTGAATCATCTCGGTGTGATATGGAGAATTAAAAAAACTCATTGGATGATAAAAACTGCATTTTATTGACGAAGCTCCAACAGTTATGCTCTAAATATATCCTTCTATTTTTTGTCGTTTTTTGCCCTCGAAGCATATCGTTTAAAACCAAAACTTCTCTTTCAAATATAGAGGATGCTTAAATAAAGATATCTCTGTACACTACACCGAAAAGTGTAGGTTGTGTGTAATTCATCGAAACAGCGTTACATGACAAAAGTCCTAGCTTTTACACCATCGTCACTTGGCACTTCATCTCTTGCCCCCTGCGCCGAATCGAAGGTATGACGATCTTCCTGAATGGCGAATTTCGTCACTTCCTACCATAGCTCGGAGTCGTGCGATCAGATCATTCAAACTGTATCGCTTGTTTTGGTCTGTAAATGGAGAAAATATGAGAATTAAGGTTGAGACGATTTAGAGGGCAATTCATTTATCATGGCATCACTTGTTGGAACGACAATATGATAAAACATGTTCTGGTTATAAAACACGTGTTTGGATCTATTTGTTTGGCCACTTTTTTATAATTATTACAAATGTAAAATAACTATGATTCTTTCTTTTTATTTCTTCCCCTTTTCATTATTTCCACCAAATGGTAACCGAACGTTTCCCTAGATACAATTCACCGGATACTTATGAAGCATCATTTCGTTTAACGATCGGACTTCAAGCGTACCCGACGCTCTTCTCTGTAGTGTCTCTCTAGGCTCTTATAGGACCTTAGCTGTTCCGATGTTGTTACATGTAAACCCCGAAAAAAAAACCAACGGCTCTCTTTTTCTCGTTTACATACATAACATTTTCTTATTTATTCATTCGGTACCATAAATAAATTAACTATTTTTTTCTGTTCTGTCTCCACTTCAGCTAAGGGTCACATGACTGTGTCCATTATGATATAACCACCAAGCGTAGGTTAAGGAGCTAGCGGCCTAAAAGCAGCAATCTTCAATGTCCCTTTAACAGAAGACACGGCCGAATCCCCTCGATTCTTCTTGGGTAGGTTTAAATAATGTTTTATTCAATAATCAGACATGGTTTTTATATACATGTGATTTTGGAGGGATTGGAAAACAAGACTAGAGCTAATATTAATTTCTTTTCCAAAAGGGGTGTATTTTAGTCGCCTCTTACGATACTATTCAGCGGAATAAAGAAGGCATATTCTTCTGAACCTGTACGGGTGTCGCTAAATATAAACACCATTGCATGTGTCACTAGTGCGTTGTAAGGACGTTTCAATATTTGATGAATAAAATATGCTGACCGTTTGACCGAATAAATATCAGTCATGCGAGACAAATATTTGATCGTAGTTAAAGTGATTGATAACTTGCTGGAAGCTCTAGCGCATCAATTAACATCGTCTTCTGTTCTACGTAAAAATATAATCAGACCTTTTATTTTATCAGCTCACATATAGCTACAGGGTGAAATATGTGTATCGCAGATATGAGGCTTGTTGGGTGAATTGATATTTTAGATGAAATCGGTAATAAAAGAAAAAGAACGCAGATAAGTGTGGATGGATTGTTTTGGTATTTGTTTATGTTTTGTATTGGACACTATTATGGAAACAGTTTAGATTTTAAAAATCTGCAGCAATTTATGTACATTAAGGACAACTTGTAACTAAGTGATAATGATTTGCAGACCACCTCAACTATCAAAGAGAAACTCGGAGAATTAAAACGAGTCTATTCACACCCGAGAGGGTCACTATAGGCGATTTCCAAACCTACGTCGATGGATAGTTAATTTACGCGATCTCATTATCCACGTCATTAGTCAAAGACGCTGCATTTTCCGATAGACTGCCGGCGATCAAACCCATTTATAGACTAGATATCGGTAGTTCAACAAGCAAATCACGGTTTTGTTACATGTGGAATATATACAGCACTGACAATTTGTGTCTAACGCGCCCCCGCACTAAAAAAATGAGGACCATAAGGGGACGGTTACATTATATTACTTTGATGCCGGTAGTATATCTATATAAACTATTTAAATTGAAAAGCGAAAAGAAGATGAAATATTCTATAGATGTATCAATTTCATTTCACTTTTTATAAAACGGGTAAAATGTTTTGTCTCTTCATGACATCGATATACCCAATCCCTTCGGTAGCCTCAATGCAAATAGAATAAAGATAACGTAGCAGGCCAGCGATCGAGTTTGGTACCTCTTTGAGCCATGGGCGATTATATTAAAGGGAGACAATTCTGACACTTATATCTTGCGTGTGCCTTTTGATTAGGAATGCTTTGACCACTGAACAATATTTTCCATCAAAGACTTATTGAATTTTCAAAGCGAGCTTTCATTTTTAGAAACATAAAACTGCACCACACTTATTAGATATAACATCGTTTACGGTGGTTATGGTAATTTACATGAACACGATTTAACGCATGTTTCACTAAAGTCTCCGATAAATTGACAATAATCATTGAACGTATTCCTATGTATAACTATGGTGGCATGATGCCATCAACTTACGAGTTACGTTTTGTCGAGGTGAATTTCACAACATATCGACAAAATCTTATATATCGACATAATCTCAGATTACGTGGACATATAACCGCATTTTCTTTATCTCATAGGTAGGTAACTCGGGTACTTCTTTATCGTGTTATTACTCGGGTGTAACACCGATTTACAACTGATGAATCTAGTCAGTACTGCTGATATGCGTGACCTAAACGTGACTTACTTGTGAGTAAAACGAGAAGTAAGTGTAGCTATTAGTACCTCACATAATAATGTCTTAACGAGAAGTTAGTGTAGCTATTAGTACCTCACATAATAATGTCTTAACGAAAAGTTAGTGTAGCTATTAGTACTTCACATAATAATGTCTTAACGAGAAGTAAGTGTAGCTATTAGTACTTCACATAATAATGTCTTAACGAGAAGTTAGTGTAGCTATTAGTACCTCACATAATAATGTCTTAACGAGAAGTTAGTGTAGCTATTAGTACTCCACATAATAATGTCTTAACAAGAAGTTAGTGTAGCTATTAGTACCTCACATAATAATGTCTTAACGAGAAGTTAGTGTAGCTATTAGTACTTCACATAATAATGTCTTAACGAGAATTTAGTGTAGCTATTAGTACTCCACATCATAATGTCTTAACGAGAAGTTAGTGTAGCTATTAGTACTCCACATAATAACGTCTTAACGAGAAGTTAGTGTAGCTATTAGTACTTCACATAATAACGTCTTAACGAAAAGTTAGTGTAACATAATAATATCTTAGTACGCGCATGGTTAGCTACCTTTGACCGATCTTGCATAAAAAAAAAATCAGAGGATGTCGATTTTTCTTCTGAGTTTGTACATATGTAATTATTTCAGAAATGTTGTAATATGTCGGCGTAACTGAAACCTGATTGCGACATATTAATAGAACATGTTTTATGTCGACATCTTCCCAAAAATATCTCACTATAGTACGTGAGCGTATATGTGGTACCATTTAATACTAATGAGTAACATAAAAACAATCCAACCTACTTGTAAGCTTAAGCTGACCAGATTAAGAACATCTAAGGAACCGCAATATACTGTATCAATGAAAGTTATGCAACTATTCATCAAATGTAACCAACATATATTCTTTTGTTGTCGTTTTCGAACTGATGAAATAATTTTTGTTTCAAATATATTGTTGCCTCCGAAAGATTTCTGCGTTAACCAACTCATAATATAACTATCCACACGAGATGTTATATACTTACATCCACGCTTTATGAGTTGTTGTAGAGGATGGTATGTCCGCGAAGACAGAGACAGGACGGGTGCTGCAAGGGACGCTCTTCTGTCAGATCGATCTGAAATATTAACATTCAATCATTAGATATAGATGTTTTTACATTGAGAAGAGTAAACGGCTATATATATATACAGAACAAGAGACCAATTATGGCTACATCGCTCACCCGGTATAAATCGTACTGTTATAACCTTAAACAAGGACCAATGTTAGACATGTAATTAAGCTACAGGCTTAATATCAATACATATTTTTCTTGTTCATTCAAAATAATCTGTTACAAGACTTAAACACATTTGACCCCTGTGAACTTAAAATTCAAACAAGGAATTTAGTTGAACTTCGTAGCCCTTCATCTAAGCACACCATTAGTCGGATATCATCACGCTGGTCTACAAGCTTGTTAAAGAAGAAGGAAGAAAACGTTGACGCTGGATGAACGGTGGACGGATGACGCTGGATGAACGGTGGACGGATGACGCTGGATGAACGGTGGACGGATGATGCTGGATGAACGGTGGACGGATGCCGCATCACAACAATATGCTCACTTGGCCCTCCATCCCTTAGGTGAGCTTATGAATGGTAACTTATATATACTAATGAATCCAAGTAATGTGATCAAATGCATGTTTAATGGTAAAATTACTTTTTGTGCATAGGTAAACTATCACATGGGTTAGATTACAATTAAATAGCTTAAACATATACCACATCTAATCGGAACTAAATGTGATATAAGGTCACAATAGGAACAAATGACATAAAAAAGAGAAATGAAAGGCGTTAATCGTCGACGGTTAAACAATGCGCTCTGAAAGTGTAATGTTCTCCTGTACCACGTATAGCACACGTCATTTCATCTTCCGTCAAATTCACGAGAAAAGCATAACTCCCAATTCATATAACAAATAGCAAACTAGATTGTAGTTATCATGCGTATGAACTATTGAATGACTATGGAAGTAAAGATACTAACACAATAATTCTATATAGTTCATCTGAAAAACATGGTGATTTTAAGCCAGTTGTGTTGCTTTGGTTGCAGTGCAGTAGTTTTGACATCTTACTTGCCGATTCAGAATAGGAGATAACACACAGACAGTTCCATTCGTCTCTTGCTGTTGCTGAATTATTTTCTGTACATCGATAGATAATTTAGTAATTAGTAGGTTAGTCTGTTGCCATTAAAGACATCTCTTGTTGCAAATACACATTTTGTAATATCTATGCAGGTTCGGGGATATAAACCTGTTTTTCTCCATTGCATGATCATATGAAGCGACTATCGTTTGACTTTCTGCTAAAAGAGTGACTTTTTTGCGTTGTGAGGTTTAGCAAACATTGGAGTAATGAAAACTGTCTGTCTCCACCATTGTTATAATAATTGATATTTTTCTTTTTTTTCCAATCTTATTTTATTCGTAAGAGTCCCCCTAGGTCCTCTTGTTAATCCACAGCCAGAATAATGTGTTCATGACATTTCATTGACACGTGACTTTAAAATGGCCCCGTCATCTATGGACACCGCCTACATATGACACTAAACCCTGAATATTCCCCGCGTCTCTCCGTGAATAGGAGGAAGTAATCTGTCTCGGTTCTACATTGTCAACCTTGTAATAAATACAATGATTTTAGGAGAGACGTTGTTTTTTTTTATTGAGAACGAAAGAATTTTATTACATTTCATCAGAACCCGTGTATCGCCGATACAATTCGTATATTTTCCTTTCCGAGTGACTTGGTGCTTGCAGTTTTATTGAGTGTGATCGCCGTTAAGGGTTCTTTTAAATTTCTACTCATAACATATCATAAAAAAAATGGAGAAAACGATCTGAAGAAATTAACCAGAAAGTTGAAACGATTTTTTTCAATCACAATTTCCGTTTGAAGTATTGTTTTTTTGTTCCTGATTTCTATTTCAAAAGTCACAGAGGAGATTAAACAGAAATGTCCCGTAAGGCCGTTATGTCCCTCACGTATCCACCAACAACAGACTAATGGCGAGATAAAAAGCTTTGCTAAGTGATTGTCTCAATACCGGGCCGCATACGCACACAACGTTGGAGTGTCGCTTACAGCAACAACGATGATGAGCGGTTTGCATACACTAAGTATATAACGAATTTGTCTGGTTGGAACGTCAGCGCTAGTGGTTTAACGCCTGTATACTGTCAATTGGCACCTTTGTGAGTGATAAACATTAAGGCAGTGTTTGCTGGAAGTAATGCAGTCATGGAATCACAACATTATGCGGGAACCAATACTTTTTAACAGGATTGCTCCTTTTTCAGAGGAAAGTCAAAATCGGAAATTACTACTGTCGCTTGTACTGGTACTTTATCGTCTGACAGAAAACCACAGAATTATAGTTGTGAAAAACCATCATTTATTTATTTTGTTAAGGTTTTAAATCCTCCGTACAGCTAAGGTCGTTTCAGAAGGACTATGTCCGCGATGGGGAAGCTACTCGGTGTTACCTTAAAGTGCCACTTCTGAGATATCCGCATCTGGACTTGATATCACGATAAATCACACCCGGTCACATTGATCTTACACCAATTATCAATCCTAGCGCCATCACTCTAAAAGTACTAATTTTAAGGGTTTTGTACTGGTGAGTTTTGTCTCTGTCATAGGACCCTATTTATAGCCTACCTTGCCTCCACACCAAAGCAAAGTATCGTCCAGAAAGACATTGGGACACAAAACAATGTTAGAAAGGAGGAAAACAAAAGTTAAGGTGAAATAATACTTAAAACGAAACTGCACAAAGATGAATACACAACAAACTAAAAATGTTCAAAAAGCGTCAAAGGTGCAAAATTGATCGAGAAATACATAATAATTGATTGTAAATAATCTACAAAGTGTTGGCCATGCAACTGTATCAAACAAGATTTTATACCCGATACATTTTGTCGTCCATTTATTAAATATTTAGGACACAAAACCATGATAAAAGGAGGTTAACAAAATTTAAGGCAAAGAAAGTTTAGGGATGACAATAAAAGAAGCACAAGTAAAGAGGGTAGGACAATGTATTACCCCAACTGCCGCACTTCGATGTGTTATTTACTGTACATTATTGTCGCCAATAGCATAAATCTAATTCTGGTAAAATAGGGAGAGATTGATTAAGTTGTTTGATATGCTGATATTTCAATTAGCGTTCTAAGAACACAGACACAGTGAAATACAGCAAAGTGCAATTGTGGTATACAAATGTACTGATTACGACACGTGCTTCTTTTGACGATTCCATGTATCGGAGTTTTGAATAACATTATTAATACATCAACACCTGCCTCAATAATAACATAAATATGCTACCTATTTTAAAACTTTATCACAATGTGAAAACTTTGTCCTGACCGAGTGGAAATTAAGTCAAACTGTTCTGATCAAATCTGCCGTTTTGAAACAAACGCATCGCAAATTTCCATGTGCCGTAAACAGAACATTTGTTTGTACAGTTTCTGTGTCATTAACATATGACTACAGACTCTAAATCAATCTTTACACCGATACAATCTAAAATACATCCCAGTTGTTGGGATTAATGCTGAGGTTGCTTTGCTTCCTTTACCTTTATTAATATATTTATCATATATTTTAGTTTAAGTTTGATTTTTTTTTTTTTACTTTTCGCGTCCCCCTTTACAGTTTGGTTTGAAAAGAAAAGACATAAATCGTCCATGGACAATGAAAAATGCAGAAATATAACAACACCGAAAAAACTTGTTTATCAGACATCTTTGTCACGACTACCATGTCACTTTCTCATTGATTTAACTAATATCTATACACTCCTGTTTATCACGCCCTATGTATCATGCATTAATGATCTTTTGTCTGCCGTTATAACATTTATATATCGGTAACGGCACACAGAAGTTCTGGATTTCTCTTCCAACTCTGGAATTAATGTTTTCTTCGGGATGCCTGTTTTCATGATGAGCCCTGTTTATTATACTGCAGATATAGACATTTTTCAGACACAAATATGCAATCATTAAATAAAATGTAAAACAAAACGTATTACTCGGTTCTCAATGACTATATCATTCAACTGAACTCTACAAATGTCCTAAGGTGACTACACGTTACCACTGTATAGCCTCATCTGTCTTTTCCAATATGTAGTGTTTTGCGATCCAGGTTTTAGCTGGTAGTTTATCACTCAGTCGACGATTGATTGGAGTCTTTGGTTAGTTGTTGTTGTTGTTTATTTGAAACATTGGGTTAACGTTATCTGAAGACATGGACCAATAACAGTTTATGCATTGATTTTTCATGTTGTAGACTGTCGTTGATAGCTGTAATTAATGATAACTGTATGTTAACGTGTGAATGTGTGTATGGTTAGCGCCTAGAGAGTGAGTGGTAATTAGGTATTATCAGTATCGTACGTCACTGAGTCAATTGTTTTAGTTGCAAAGGTATAGTGGGTGTTTAATCATTAACTAGCTATAAGCTGTACTTACTGTAAGTAAATATTATTAAAACATTTTCAACAACGGGGTAACCGGAGGTAGCTATAAAGTAATCATTGAATTACAATTAGCATGCGAGAGTAAATAAAATTCAAGTGATGCATTGGGCCAATGAGATCAGACCGTCTCTTCGTTGTCAACAATAACATAGTACATAACAAAAGATACCAGACAGAGAGTTCTGCACTAGGCGTATCAAATGATCAAGTAAAGTGGATCCAGCGGTCAATTATTTTCTACTTGATCAATTAGACTTAGACCGACCTTCAATTGAAATTGACATACCTAAGTTCCACCAAGAGCAATTCAGCAGCCCAATGTAAATTCAGTACCACTCATTAACGATGATCCTACACTATCGCGGTTCAAAGCAAGGGTTCTTTTGGGGAATACATCTCACAATTTCTATCACGTACGCTCTGATATACCGACAGCTCTGGACTGAGGAGAACGAAGCAGCAGTTATTGATGCTGGTAACACCTTCTTTCTGCTGTTTATGCAATAATGGCTCTAATTTAACAGTTGATTCAATTTGTCTCCCTTTATAGACAGCGGCAT